TAAAAGAAATCAAAATGTTACAAGAAATTGTATCAGACCATTGAGAAATAACTCAGAACAACACACTGTTTCAATGTGACTTTACATTTATTTATGCAATTAACTTTCAATTATATATGTTCATACACTAAATAAATAAATGCAGAAAAAGAATTATGGCATATGAATATGAACTTATTTAAGAAAAAAGTAGTAAATATTTCATTTAACTACAGAATGAAGAACGATTGGAAGATTAACATTTTCAGATTATTCATATACTATGACTGATTTTTGTTCATTAAATATTTCTTAGTGTTCTTTGCAGGCTTAAACAATATGATAAAACACTTTGGAGCAAATATAAATATTATTAGCCCAAAGCTGGAGGCCAGAATGGCAAAAATCTCCACAACCACTGTAAATTTCCCAGGAGAGCTGACATATGCTGGGATAAAGGTGATCCACACTGCACAGAATATCAGCATGCTGAAAGTGATAAGCTTGGCTTCATTGAAATTATCAGGTATTTTGCGAGCTAAGACAGCTAAAAGGAAGCAAAAGGAAGCAAGCAGACCTATGTAACCAAGCACAGCCCAGAAGCCAACAGGAGAGCCTAATGCACATTCCAGGATGATTTTCTCCCTGTATGTGGTTAGATTTTTAATTGGGAACGGAGGGCTCACTACCAACCATACAGTACATATTAAAACTTGAATAATGGTGAAAGACACAACAGTCATTCTTTGCTGTGGAGGACCAAACCATTTCATGACATTGCTACCTGGAAGTGTCGCTTTAAAAGCCATTAAAACCACTATAGTTTTCCCAAGTACACAGGAGATACAGAGTACAAAGGTTATGCCAAACGCAGTGTGACGCAACATGCAGGACCACTCTGATGGTGCGCCAATGAAAGTTAATGAACATAAGAAACACAGAGTCAGTGAGATGAGCAACAGGAAGCTCAGCTCAGAATTGTTGGCTCGGACAATTGGAGATGTCCTGTGATAAAAGAATACAGCTGCGGTTATGATGGCCAGTCAGGCACCCAGAACTGAGAATGTGGCCAGGATGATTCCTAGGATGTCTTGAAATGAAAGAAACTCTACAGGCTTAGGGATACAGGTGTCTCTTTTTGAGTTAGGCCAGAACTCTTTGTGGCAGGGTAAACAGTCAGCTGAATCTGAATAAGGGAGAAAAAAACAATAAGAGGCTACTAGGAATTAAATCATTGTAAATTGTATTTTTTCCAGTATAAAATTATTTTAAATGTATGGAGAAACATTTGATTTTACCTGTTATATTACTGATCTCTCCCTCAGGACATGCTATACAGTCATAGCAGCAGAAAGGTTTTCCTTTTTGCAGCATTTTACGAGTTCCTGGAGGACAACTGTTAGTACAGACTGACACTGGCACCTGTCAAGACAAAGTAGCATAACAGATATAAATATTACAGATATAAAGTAGCAGCAACTTGTCACCAGAGTTTAATAAGTCAGATTCTCATCCTTTGAGTCATTACTTTTCTGCTATCCTCCATCCAGGTTATGTTTCTGTTAATCTTAAACTCGTGGCCCACTCGTAGTGAGGCATCATACAGCCCTACAGTTACTATCTCAATTATGCCACTCCCACTTTTCTGCCAGTTAACCAAATCATAAATAGCCACAGGATCCCCATTAGTATTAAATGACACATCATATCCATTTTGGGAAAAATTTACTTTCTTCAGCTCAGTTAAAATCTGTAAAGACAGTAGGAGAGAGAAAGAAGAACATGGGACATTGCAATAATACACATTGATAGTTCTTTTTATCTAAGTTATATTAGGAGTTATGAAAGACATTGGCATTAACATGTTCAGTTCTGCTTACCCGATTGGACTGTAACTTGATTAGTTTGTCACATTTTGCTATGGCATTTGTTTTTTGACACACTGCATTATGGATGGCATGTGCTATTGCATACACAGCCTTATACACCATGTTAGCAATTCTGAGCTGAGATGTGTCAGTGTACTCGCTTTGGAGATTCTGTATGTCTTCATTTCCATCACACATTTTCTTCTCTATGGCAGGA